TTAGTTTTTTCTAATTTCTATTAATAATTAATAATAAATTAAACTTAATAAAAAATTCATTCAATAAAATAATTTGTTAAACTTAATGTAGCGTAAATTGGAATGTTTTCTTTATAAAATTAAAAATAAAGTAATTTACGAGTAATTAATAAATAATTGTAACTATAGTGAAAAAATAGGGTGGTTTGCATTAATATTAAACATAACTGGTTAAAGACTGTACCACCTCAGTCAACCGTGACCATGGGACCTGTAAAGGGCCCGAAACGTCGGTTTGTTTGAAAAAACAAATATACGCGATTTAAATCCGGAAAAATAGTTTCATTTCCTATGTGTAACAATCGCGAAAACCTAAGAACTCGATATTTATATCCATATCTCAGGATTATTTGTAGTTTACTAAACTTTTAACCAAGTTTTACCTGTGGATCTGCTTGCTGACTCGCCAACGAGATCTAGTAAACAATATTTGTTTTTACAACACCAAGTGACGGGACGAACAAGTCATGCGCCTGGCGATGGCGGTACGAGATCTAGTAAATAAAAATTTAAGGCGACTATGACATATTTTTAAATAGAAAAACAAAGCTGACTCTAGCTAATTCAGTTAATTTTATAACCCTTTTCAGTGTACCTATTTTCGTTCTTCCTGTTAAAAGAGTGTAAATATTTATACTAACTAGAGTAAATATTGTTCCGACAAGCTTCCAAATCAAAAAGAGTTGAATAAACTTTGCTTATTTTTAACCTTTATTGCATTTTCTTAAATCTTTTAGTGTTTTCACCAGGTGACCAGGTGAGGTGAGTGTATTTAAGAAAAAGCGATTATAACAAATTACTGGAGTAATTTCACATAAAAATAATTAAATATTTCACATAAAAATAATTATAACAAACTACTGGAGTAATTTCACATAAAAATAATTAAATATCCATTCAATATGAATTTAATTACAGATAATAGCGACATCTCTCGCCAGGGCTGGTAGCTGTAAAGTTACCTAACTGGGTGACGAAATACTATCATAGATTTGTCATAGATGGCGCTACGGCTAAAAAGTCGTTGGAAACCAAATACAAGGACCCGACAACAAGCACATGAAAAATTCGTGAGGTCCGCTGGTTCGTTCCGTGGCTTAGTTGGCATAGCGTCTGGTACGGTTTGCTAGAAGACGTCGGTTCGAATCCGAGCGGATCGAAGGATTTTTTTCTAAGTGTTCGATTTTTGTATGAATAATTATAACAAAAAAGCGTACATTTCACATTTAATTGCAACATGTACAGGGCACAACAGATATCAGATAATTGGTGTGATTGTCTGTTACACTATTACTGTTGTTATTAATGAGTTATATTCATGCAATATACAAAAAGATAGACCTACGACGATTTGTGGAGAATAAACGCTTTTAAAAGCTTAGAGCTAAGATCTATGATCGTATATCTCGTTAAAATTCGACAAAAGTATGAGATAGAATTTACTTGTTGCTTAAAAGGAATTAATCCTTATAATTGACCCTTTCGATCGGTGTCATAAAAATAGCCAATTAGTCAGTTCGATTCCTAGATGAGGCCAGCAACTTTTTAAGTCTTTGAATGCAGTATTACTTACTTTTAAAAATAATGTATGTATAGAGCAAGTAATAGCATGGCGTCGGTACCAGTAGAGCTCCTTGTGAACGAATTCGTCCTGAGAAGTACTGCCACTTATCTATTTCTTTCGCCAAGCAGTAATAGGCATTGCTGCGTTCCGGTTTGGAAGGGTAGAGGTGCTGGTGAAATTACAGACACATGGGATTTGTCAACTCGTGTCTCAGCGGTGGCAGCGCGGTGGCAGTGCCTCTCAACTCTTTGCGGTTTCTAGTTCTAAGTGGCACTGCAACTGCTATGGACCGTAAGTGCCGCTTACCACCAGGCGCACTTGTTCGTCTCGTCACTTGATATCATAAAAAAATAAAAAAAAGCAAAATATCTTACCGCCAATATTTAAATTACTTTCCCTCCGTGTCTCTTAGCCGTAGGACAGCCTGTATATGTACGAACCTCATTTATAATTCATGCAAAATAAATCAGTAAGAATGAGTACCAAACCAACGGAATTCACTCCAGTGCTCTACCCGCAACACCTAGACCAGAACCAATGGGCTACCGCTATATGTATACATACATACATACACTTATAAGTAAACAAAACAAAACAATTTCTTTAATTAGTGCAAATGCAATATGTGTATTAAGTTCGTATACTATTGTTGCTCGCTCAATTACATATTTTATCCTGTAAACCGGACGTTGTCTGGAACAGTTTGCTATCTGGCTATAAGGCCATCTGTTGTACCCATCGAGTATATAATTATACTCGATGGTTGTACCTGTCTGCAATAAAGTGTATTTGTATTGTATATTGTATTGTGTTCTAAGAAATATTTTCCTCAATGCCCACTCAAAGTTTTGTAACGAGCATGACGGCTCAATCGACTCTGAATATGGCAATCTCTTACAAATACTTTGAGAAAAGCGTGACCTATACTCTCCCTTGCCATTGAATGATACGCATCGTGCGATGCCTCACGACATACATTGGCCAAAATCGACGGATCTTGGCCACATCTTGGCATCGAGTTGTTCGACCATCAGACGCATTTTGCACAATAGGCGTTAACCCAGATCCTTGCAAGTTTGGAAATCTAGTAAGCACATGGAAACTTGCCACGTACCTGAAATTCTAATCCCGTCCTATACGATTGCGGCTGGTTAGATTATACTGTAGTAGTTCAATGAGGAAGGATACTTAGTTACTGTTGAGACAAAATGAAACTCCTGCTATTTAATTTCCTATATTCCTATATTCCTTGAGAATTTCACGATATACAGTGGACCATAAAATTTCGATACTTTGGGAAAGAAAGGTTGAAACAAGGCAATTTGATAAATAATTGCATATTGATGTGGTTGGTTTAAATTTTCAAACTCTTTCAATCCCGTTTCGTCAAAGAATTATTCTTCGCCAAAAAAGTGCATTTTCATGTTAAGTATAAAAATGATGACTTTTTTATTAAAAAATTTGGAAGTGGGTTAAAAATAGAAACTATATGAATGAAATCGTTTATAAATCTATGTTTTCCATTGGACTTGTAAAATTTGTAGCTTGGCTTTTACGACTTTACTTCCCCGAAGTATTTATTGATTTGATAAGGAATTAGAGTAAAACAAATTCTTTTAATTGTTTACTTGACTGCGTAGTGACAAGTTGGTTAAATGTTAATTACTTGACAGTAAAAACAGTAGAGCCTGCGTCTTTCACATTCTCTTCAAACCCATGTGGCATAACAAAGTAATTGATATCGTTGTATCCCAAGCAATTTAAAAAACGTAACGTTATCCCTTAGCGCTTGAAAGTGAATAGGTAAATATACCATTATTATAAAGTACCATTTCGCAAGCCGCTGCCGGAGAATGTCCAACAAAAGACGTGTTTCGATTCTTCCACGGACCATAATATAATCCGTTCTCTTCCTGAATACTAAATAGATCGTCTTGTTTGTATTATTAACGTTTAAAGAAAGTTGTTTCTGAGTGGCGGCGCTATTTTTAATTTCATCACACGAGAGTAATTAAAATGTGAAATGGAGCAAAAAATCATCCACGAAGACTGAAACATTCTGTAAAGTTCCCTGGTCGTAAATTATTTATGTTTTTGTGCGGTTTTTTATTTTGTCTCTGAGGTAGTGATTATTATTTTAACTGTCTTCAATCAAGTCTAAACTTTCAAATCAGGCGTGGCGATTGCGAACAACCTAGGTCTTCGCCATGGCCTTTCTACCGCTAATTAATGTCTGGCGAGCAATGGCGGTAAAAATAAACTATGATTAATACAAGCGGGTGCGCAGACGGCGCGTCGCGGGTACAGCCGTGACGGTTTAAAACTCGAGCCTCCGAATACATGCGCCTCGTTTTGAATGACTATTTAAATTTGTCGGTTGCTATGCCCTCTAGTACGATGACCCTTCATGCCCTACCGTGTTTGTTCCATCAATCAATGCGTTTGCATTAACGCTATTCAGCCCAGAGTACTTTATTGAAGTTAACTCTACTTAAGTGACTTATCGCAATTACAATTATCTACGAGATACAGAATTCTCTCGGCTTGCGTGTGAGCAATCATCATCGTTTTATCGGACGTTCAATAATATCTGAATGATAAAGCATAGATCATTAGAACGCGAAAGATAAACAGTTAATTACTATTGCTGTTACTTCGATTTGGCAATACGAACACCATTATGATGCATTTAAATCTATACAATGTTCAATTGTTGTTAGGTACGTATTTTACCAACGCTTCGCTATAAAACAATTTATATGCACAAAAAGTAATGTGTGCAATAGCTGTTTTTTAGCTGAGAATGTATAGTTATTGTTTGCAGAACATAGAGATACAAAGATTGTATGAATAGCCTCGTTTGCGGAGTCTTTGCCTGGGAACCGGGTTTCCAATCTCCAATAGACACTTAATGCAATGCCGATAGGTTTTGCACATTGTAGCAGCTCCACTATTATACGCGACTTCACCATTATAAAGGCGATATTTTTTTATTCACGTACTAAGTTTTACAGCGTGTAGAATGCCAGCGGTGCATAAAAACCTAACAAAGAGGTATGAGGTATGCTCATGCAAATTGAAGCCATAAAAATAACCGTTTGTTGGATTCGTATAAGTTACGACTTACAAGATTTACACGTCACTTTAAAAAATATTCATCGCTTTTCTATTTTACAGTTGCTATGGTCTAGAATTTATTCAAGGTAACTGCGGACGCTGGGAATTGTGGTGACAATGGCTGTAAATTCCCTTGAGATGCACTCGGCGATTTAAACCATACCGCATAATAACTGCACAGAATTCATTTCGGGCAAATTATGAACCTTCAGAGTTAAAATAAATAAAAAAAAAATTAAAATTATACTTCATTTTTTAACTCTTTTTTTTTTTGTTACAGATCATGTGACTTCGAAGATCGTTATGGAAGATAGTTCTAATATACCTGTTGCAGCCGGTGACCCACCACCGACTGATTCCGAAAACAATGTTGTACAACAAGAGGAAAAGTGTGAGAACGGAGGACCCGCAATTAGTGACGAATCAGGCAATAAAGATGAGAGTGGCATAATTGTTGAAGGTCTTATAGCAAACAAAAATGTAACTGTTGAAGTGAAAGAAGCGTCAGTGGTGAATGATTTGTGTGAAATAAACGATGACGCTCGATCATTGGGTGATTTGGAGAGCTTGCCGGCGGGAGACGAATTAGCATTGGGCGCTGCGGGCAGCGACAGTGGAGTGGAAGGCTGTGGGCGAGCACTCAGTAGCGGAGGGGGGTCTCGATCATGCGCTTCGAGTGTGGTGTCTTGCGGATCCGGCTGCGGTTCAGAGAGTTCGTCATTGGCAGGAGCGCCCCCTCGACCGCGTCGCCGTGTGAACGTCGCCGTCGCAGAACCGAAACGCAGTTCTCCCATCGGTTCGTCTACTCCTCGTCCAGTCACGGCCCCTCGAGGTCCCAATCTTGCAACACGAGATCGCGCAAGAAGTCGAGAGAAACCGACTCCGCCTGAAAAACCCAGACCACTGACGCCTAAACCTCGTATCCGTCCGACCACAGACTTGCCTAACCTAGTTCGCGAGAGCCCTGCCCTGCGTGCTAAACCTACTAAGACCTCCACGGCCAGATGTAGAACGCCTAGTTCACCGTGTGAGGAGAAGAAGTGGCCGACTAATGGGCAAAGGTTGACACCTGTTACTGACGCCAATGCTGCTCGGATAGCCGCCGACAAATACGGGACTCTACCTCGGAGACGCCGGGAAGACACTGAAGGTTCGCCGAAACATGACAGCACACCACCATCTTCTAGGAGACCAACTGTCACACGTTCCGTGTCGTCGAGGTCGACGACGAAAACGAGAGTTCGGATATACGCGGAAAAGATCTCACAAACAGTATTGGTAGGAACTGATATTGAATCAGCGCTGGCTGGGGTCACACCTAACATTGAAAAGTAAGTATAGTACATGAATAGATAATGTAATTTTTATTGTAGTTATTTCAGACGACATTGGATACGGAAGCTACGTAGCAAATTGCATTATAAACGTTATTGTGAAAAATTCATCGTACATACACTACAGGTTCCAACTCGAGTTATTTCAAATTGATTTAGAGGGCTCTAATACCGGCACGCAAAAATCTATTTCTGTATTTTATGTTCAATTGAGTATTTGTTCGTGACAGTATCTCCCCAGAGTGCGAGAATGTTGACGATTGTGGAACTGGCATAACATTGTTTTGTTTACGACACAGTCGCGTGGAAGTGACTCGTTGTTCCCGTGGGGTGCAAGCAAACGCACGCGACTCGGAAACGGCGAGGCTGACGGCAGCGGCTGCGGCGGCTGAAGCTGCGGCGGCCGAAGAACGCGAGCGACGCGTGCATGCTGAGACACAGCTGTCTGCCGAACGTGCTGCCCGTCTTGCAGCCATTGCAGAACTTGAGAGAAACTCGCAGCGATTGTTGGAACTTGCTGGAGCTGGTAATATCTTTAATATTAGTCCACCATTTCATTGTAGGTAATGACAGAGTATATATTTTTAGAAGCAGTAGAGCTCCTTGTGAAAGAGTTCGTCCAGAGAAGTACTGCCACTTTACCTATTTCGGCCACCAAGCAGTAAGTGATCATTACAACGTTCCGGTTTTGAAGGGAAAGGTTGCTGGTGAAATTACAAGCACGAACATTACGACGAAAACATATGATCTTTGCGATTGCGAGTTGTGGACAGGCGTGTCGACTAACACGAGGCGCACGACTTCTTTGTCCCGTCACTTTATATTATTATAAAAACATATTTATAGCGTATTGAAATTATTTATTTAATATGGTGCAATCACAGACATACAAGTAGCAATTACCAAAAGTAACATTATCAGCACAATCCTTTATCACTGCAATCTATTTACAGCTGTACCTACACAACTTATGCAATGTAATAGATATGAAATGATACAGTTGACGGATCAGCACTATACAATAAACTGTAGTAAAACTATAATAAAATTGGTCTCTTATTCAATACTTTTGATATTTTGATAGCTTTGCGTTCCTTACTACCACCTTGTTTTCAATTTCTTGCAATATGGGTCTAAATCTGCATCTACCAACATGCTTTGCATTATCTGTGGATATTTCTATGAACTTTACTCATGCCATTGTTTTACGATATTTTTATTAATATTTATCACCGTACTTACGTAATGAAGGGCCCTTGTTTTGTTATAAACACAATAACACAAGTGTGTCATACTATATGAATGAATTAGAAATGCCTGTGAGACTTAAAGCAGGCCTTTGCACCAAAGCGTGTTAGACACTCATGTACTCGAGCAGACGTAAGTAAGTGTAAGCAAACAAGTTCGTATTAGCGTTTTCGACTGCCGTATAGTTGCCAAAAGGTCACTGAAACTAAACTCAGAATTTCCGTACGCGTTGTAGGTGCTGGCGCCGGCGCCGACGGATGCCTACGCGCATTAGAAGAGCAGTTACGTTCGACGGGCGAGTTGGCAGCCAAACAACGCGGTGAGATCGACGCATTACGAGCACACTGTGACAAATTGCATGCGGTTCGTATTTTACTCTAATGTCTTTTATGTTTTTTAATTACTTCGAATTTGAGGAGAGCAAGCGTAAGCGGGCACTCCTTATCCTTACATATAAAGATGGCTGAAGCGTCATATGAAGAAACTCAGTACAGAGCCTTCGTAAGCAGCAGCAGCAGCAGCAGGCTTGCCAATCGGACGGCCTGGAAGGCCCCCATATACGGGACGATTTGTCTTAACGACGTGTCGTTCCAGACTGATCGAAACTACGAACCGATAATGCATGTTTATGTCATTAACGATTAACTTGAACGCCAAGGACGAGTGTCGGGTCGATACGGTAATCGTGACGATCGATCGAAATGAGAAAATGGCATTCGGAGCTTGATTTTAGAGTGGGTACACAAGTAGCTCGAATGTTTTTTACCAAAATAACGTTTGTTTGAGTTTTCATTACACCGAAAACCGAATTATAACTAAACCGTTGTCCTGTTGTTGATATGTTTATCGCAAAGACACGATTAGGTTCGGTTAAGTTAGATTTAAAAGGAAAACGCGCGTTCCTGAAACGCGCTATTGCATCGCTACACTTGCGATTGCATCGATGCAATCGCCTATAACTGAACTGAAAGCCTAACCATCTGCGGTAATCAGTTACAATTTTGAAAATAGTGTGCTCACATGCTCGCAGTATGCGAGGCAGTATAGATAAGCTACATGCGAGGCCGTCGACGTGGTCGAAATAGGCTGGGAGCATATATATGGTTTTTACCTATTTATGTAGTAAAATCAGTAAGAAAGTATAAGTCATTATAATCAAACTTAATTACGTCACAACTTCGGTCCTGCGTCCAGCTTAGTTTCTGCCACAATATTGAGCTCGGAAATCAGTAGAGCTAGCAAGATAGGGCGCGACTTGCACGAGAGCGATATAAAGCGCGAGATACTGCTGTTCTCACAAAGAGATCTCGCGCTTTATGTCGCTCTCGCGCAAGTCGCGCCCTGCCGTGCTAGCCCTACAGCGTGCTGATTTTGATACAAATTCGAATCGATGTCAAAAGTTTCCGATCGGCCAGTTGTGAATCGCAATTATACGCCTCGACTCGGAAAACACGCAGTGTCCGATCGGGAGAAGCAATCAAAATCAAGCTGCAGATCTTCAATTTCAAGGATTTTTTGTTGCTCTCCAGTTCTTTTCTCTCTTTTAGTTGGTCCCAGAATCTTCCACAAGATTTTTCTTTCCGCTAACTCACGGCGTGGAGGAGCGTCTCCAAGGTGGTGGGTGGGGGAAGGTCGGTAGTAGAGCCTAGCTAGCTACCGGCTAAGTCCGAAGGACTCGCTAATCAATGTAGGATACGGTCCACCAGCATTTCGGTGGTTATGCGGTTAGTTAACACCTCCCAGGTGTAAAAAGACTATTTTTATTGTTACAACAGCACAACTGCTTATTTAAATGAATTGTAAAACTTGTTATTAATAGGAAGCCTGCAATGCGCGTGAATCTGCAAGATCGTTAAGCGCTCGCTTGGCGGAAGCAGAACGCGAAGCAGCCGAGATGCAGGACTTTTTGGCCGCCGAGACAGGAGCATTGAATGATTCTCTGAGAGACGCCGAGACCGAGCTAGCCAGGGTCAACGCGGACCTCGAGAGAAGGTACGTTTAACGCTTGTTTTAATGTTACCTTGACGATAATCGTGTGAAAAATATCCTCAGAATACAACAACAAGTCGTAACGTGTTTTAATTTTATTTATTTTTTGTTTTGCGTTCTATCCAAGGTATTAATTATTCGGGGTCTTTGAACATTATTTCTTTTGTTTAAGATTTTTTTGGTATTATTAATGTAGTTTCTTCTAGTTTATTAATTTTTAATTTAAATTATATTATGTTATAATTGTTGAATACAACAATCGAACACTTAGAAAAAAGTCCTTCGATTCGGCCGGATTCGAACCGACGTCTTCTAGCAAACCGTGGCAGACGCTATGCCAACGAACCAGCGGACTTCACGAATTTTTCTATGTGCTTGTTTGTCGGATCTTTGTATCTGGTTTTTAACGATCTTTTAGCCGTAGCGCCATCTATGAGAAATCTATGAAAGTATTTCGTCACGGGCACTTTTACAGCTACTAGCCCTGGCTAGAGATGTCGCTATTCACTATTAGTAAATTACCGTGATATTCAATTATTTTTTGTGAAATTACTCCACTAGTTTGTTATAATTATTGAATACAAAGTCAATCTTTGGAAAAAAAAACACTTAGAAAAAATTCCTTCGATCATGCCGCCATGCATGATGGTGAACCATCCTGACATTCAACAAAACAGTTAATTATATTATATGCTTATATAATTAAATTATTTTCATATAAAGTCTTTAAAAAATAAGAATTCAGTAAACCTAAGAATTAATTATTAGATTAGGTATATTCCTATGAAAGCTAGCCTAAGAAATATTGGGTTCAAGTTTTATACTGCCCTCAGAACGAAAAACGGCACAACTGCTGTGTAAAGTACGCATAGTTGTGCCTTTTTTCGTTACGAGGGCGGTATAAGAGACCAAAAGCTGTCCTTGTTGGGCTTATATATTAAGTTAAATTGGCTATAAAATTTTAATAATCTTGTGCCAGACAACCACATCAATTATTTAGTGTCAAAGTAGAGAATTCCTCGTACATACTATGAGTACCGCAGCAACGGAATTTACTCCGGGGCACTACTCAGAATACTCAGACCAGTGCCATATTTAGAAAAATTTAATTTCCCAAATTGATCCTACCGGGATTCGAACTCAGGGTCCATTGTGCAAACCGTTGGGCCACTAATAGGGTTGCCCACCGTCTCGTATTTCACGGGCCGTCCCGTATATTTTGTATAAATTTGAACGCCACAAGACGTGCCATATCCCTTATAATGTACAACAAAGTTTTCCGCTTATTTTTTTTTATTTTTAGCATTTTAAAATAACTTTTTGTCCGTAATAATCCGTAATAAATCCACGCCGAATTTATTTAAAACTGAACTTATTTTGTTATTTTATTACGATTTTGTGACAGTCACTTGTATCAAATGTGTCTTTATTTTTGTTGTGAATTAAACTGTGCTTCCTAAGTAATACTATTAGTATTCATATTATATATACTTTAACATTTAATCATTTAGCAATATATTTTTTTGTTTCTCCAAAATTAATTTACTAACTTTCCTATTTTCCCTGAGCCACTCTATTTTATATATTTTGGGTACTAGATTTTGTTTATATATTTTTTTAAACAAGTAAATAATTAGACAACATCACATACGTTGCACTGATACCGAAGTAAGTAGCTAAAGCACTTGTGTTATGGAAATCGGAAACAACGACGGCACCACAAACGCCCAGATCCGAGACAATATAGAAAAGTGAGATTTCTACACTGACCCGGCCGGGGATCGAACCCTGAACCTCAGAGATGGCGATACCATGAAAACCGGTGTGCAAGGTACTCGACCACAGAGGCCGTCAAAGTACTATATGTTTATCGGATCTCTTTCCATAATTATTGTTAATTTAACATTTATTTAATTTCCTTTGTTTTAACTGTTTTTAGTTAGATTTAAAGATAAGACATATATTTAGATATTATATTATATAAAAAAGTTATCTTGTACTATTAACTTTTTTTCTTTCGCAAGGGGCGTGAGGTGTAGTATAGCCACTTGTTAATCATAACTATTATGTATCTACCTATAATATACCCATGTACTTGAATCGATGAGGAGTATTAAAAGTTACATCGAGCCGAATGATCGTGTTTCTATTGCCTCTCGATCCCATCCATATACGTGTTATATCTGTTATACACCAACAGAAGAGATATTGGGACGCGTGACACTCGTTTGCAGACGCGCAGAGTGCCGCCAGCTGGTGCGCATGTGCGAGCAGCGGCGGCAGGAGACGCTGGCGGCGGCGGCGCGCGCGCGCAGCGGCGGCGGCGCGGCCAAGGGGCTGGACGCACTCGCGCGCCGCCTGCGCGCCCTCACCGACGCCGTGCTGCGCGCCTACGCGCTGCCGCCCGACGCCGCCTTGCCCACCGTCTACCACAACGACGCTTTCAGGTATAGTCACTGTAACAGCATATTTAATTGATCAAATGAAAGCTTTAAGTAAAGAATAGAACAACTTCTCAGAAAGTATTTCAACTTTAAACAAACCCGAGCCTCCATAGTCATATAATGTTGCAGTGTTTTTCAAAAAACACTTTTTCATCACACTTGCTCGTAACCAGTGTTTCATGAAGTTCATGACATATGCAGGCAAAGTCGGCCGTAATGCCCTAAATTAAGCTAATGAACTAAACATTTGCAATTTAACTATATTTTACTAAATTAAAATTCTGCAGTATTTTTAGTATTTTGAAATAATTTATTTTATGTCCAATACATCGTGGCTGTATGCGTTTTACAGCATTTATTTTACTTTGAGTTGTATTTATTATCTATGGGGCAATAGCTGGGCCGTCTGTTAATAAAAAAGAAAAAAAAACAAAAACCCGCCATTAAAAATCCGTAATTGTTGTGTCGTGAAGGACTCTAAAACTGAACTTCGACACACGCGACTCCGACAACATGTTACATCGACATGATTTTACTCAGACATTACGTTACTCCGACAATATGTTACTTCGACATTATTTTACTCAGACACTACGCTACTCCGACAACATGTTCCGCACTATTAGTACATTGTGTATTAAGAACGGTAAATAAGAAATTACCAACGAGTATCTATTAGAAGTCCGAGGCCGAAGGCTGAGGGCTTTAATAACTCGAGTTTGTATTTTTTATCATCTGTGGTACACACAATGTTTTTCATCACATTTGCGAGGAAATAAATACAATAAATAAAAAAAATAAAATTATGGATTTCGTAAATGGCGGTTTTTTATTTTTATCAACAAATGGCCAGCTAATTATTTTTTCATAGATAATACAACTCGAACTAAATGTTGTAAAAAAACAAAGACGCATACCGCCATGATGGATTATAAAAGAAATAAGCTAAATTTGTATGCAGAAAATATTTAAAATCAATTATATATATAGATATATATATACAAATTCATAATAATAAGTACTTAAGTAGCATGTGGCTGAATTGCAATTAAATTTCTGTTTGCATAACATTTTAAGCGAATGTTATAATTGTGAACTTAATTAAGCTTGCCTGAACCCACACCTGACCTATGTAAGGAAATAAATACACTATACTAAAAATACTATAATAAAAAAAACTCCTTACCGACCACGGCCGCAAAGGGAAGAAAAAAGGTCCGAGGGTTTTATTTGGGGCATTATAGTCAAGTTAGTCACCATGCAATCATACTTTATGAACGAGTGTGATGAAAAAATAATTTGAATATTCTTATTTTCCAGCCGAAGCGACAGCGGCGAAGCCCTGTCCCCGGAGGACGAGCCCCGCGGCGGGCTCCTGGCGGCAGTGGCGCGGGCGCTCCGCGCGGCGCCCCCCCTGCCGCAGCCCGCGCCCGCGCCGCCTCGCACGCACACGCCCCACACCCCGCACACCCCGCACACGCCCCACGCGGCCGACGACGACCGTTCGCGCATGTCCGACGACAACGACAACTCCGCTGACCTCTTGGACTCGGAGACCGAGCCGTGTCTTGTTACCGATCCAGGTAATCTCTATGTTTCTCCCTTCACATTTTTTCTTCTATCATTAAACCTTACTGGGCTCACATTAGTTAGCAGTAGAGCTCCTTGTAAAAGAGTTCGTCCAAGAAAGTACTGCCACCTTACCTATTTTTGCAAGGGTGAAATCACAGGCACATAAGACTTGTCAACTTATGTCTCAGGGTGACGGTCACAGTGGCAGTGTACCTCAGATCTTTGCGGTTTAAAGCTCTGAGTGGTACTGCAACTGTTATGAACAGGCGTGAGCTTACTACCCGTCTCTTGATATTATAAAAAAAATGATAACAAGTTTTCTGTCACAGAATACGCAGAGGAATGGTGGTCCGGCGCAGAGGGGGCAGGCGGTGCATGGAGCGGCGAGGAACTGTCTCCCGAAAGAGAATCATGCGGAGACATCGACCAGGCCGAGTCCCCAGTGTCAGAGCGCGACTCCCTCCGCAACCTCTCCGCGGCTATCGCCCACAGACATCGCTCCGAAGCTGAAGACGCTGAAAGAGGGTCCCTACTAGAGCGCGTGCTGGCACTGGATAATCGCCTGTCGGAATTGTTGAGGGCTCTGCGGTTGGCGGCTTCAGCTGCAGCGGTTAACGACGACGCGGATTGTATGAGACTCGCAGCTGCTTTGAAGTGAGTCAAATATAATTATAGTATAGGGTGATGGTAATAATGATCAACATTTTAATGGAAGTGTCTTTAAATTTGATTGTTTTTGTTAAACAACATAATATATCAATAGTACTTGGTACTTGGTGTAACGGGCTGGTGTCATATATCAATAGTAATTAGTTTACTTGACATATCGCACTATTAATACAATAGTGTATTAACTCATAAAGAGGGCTTTCTCAGAATCGTTGAAAGAAGAGTTACTCACTTCCCGCAAAAAAAAATCGTTATAATTTATATATTATAGTTTATTATAGACACTTAAACCATTTCTCAAATATATTTAACAATAAAATGGAAAAAATAATTTCACGTTTTTGAATAAGGATTATTTTGGCCAGAAATAGCTCACATAAAGTGTGTCACATTTTGAATTAAGTAGATATCTTTTGATTGTTTCTTACAATATTGTAACGACGGTTTTTTTGACGTGCAGCGAATCAAACTTTACGTTCAGTAATGATATAATATTAAATTATACATATTATGAGTTACAACACTATTGCAATAGCAGTGCGATATATAATCCTCAAGACAGATTATGCTTTAATGTGTTTCATAAAAAAGCTATTCTATATAATTAATAACTTCAATTCGTCGTCGTTCAGCAATTAATCGCTAGATGGCATACATTTTTTTTAATACTAACGCACACACTCAACATAGCCCCGCACTAGGGAAACTCTGTGTCGCGAGTGCCAAGGACACATATATATAGACAACCACAAATTACACTCAAACTCACGAGAGAAATAGATGTAGGCTATACAAATATTTCTCCCGGCCCGGGAATTTAACCTGGGACCTCTACGTGGCAGTCTGGCATGGTAACCGTTCGGCTCCGGAGGCAATCAATTACAACTAACAACTGTCTCCTTGGCCGAACAATTTGCATCCTGGTCTGTCATGCAGACGTCCCGGGTTCGATTCCCGGGCGGAAAGATATATTTGTATGCCTTACATTTATTTATTATTTATCTCCTGAGTTTGGGTGTAATTTGTGTTCCCATAGCACCCGCGACAAAGTTTCGCTAGAGCGGGGTTATGAGAGTGTGCGTTATTTAGTTATTTACTAAAAAAACCTTAAACCGAAGAAATTCTAGTTTAGAATTTCTCCAAATCCAGTAATGAACATCAAAAATCCACAAATTAACTAACCGGTACTCGACATTCACCAGTAATTAACACTCAGTAACTGACACTTAACAATAACAAACATGTTACTATGATAGACAATTTTGTCCTAATTCTTTTCAGAAATCAATTTACAAAAAGACGAAGTCGGTCAATGGTGCTCGCTCGTGTTATTTTCTTTTACATCTAAGTGCACCATTAACGCGCTGACCCTGTCATTGGCAACTCATACAAATAGACTACGGAAGTTATAACAGTGCTAATTGTAATGAACGTAGTTGACAGTTGTTGCGGACAAAAACCCAATGCTTGCGTTGGACTCTAAAGTCATCTAAATAGATTCCGAAGTGATGTTAGAACGTTCTAAAACGAATTATACTTTGATTTTCAGAGATAAAATAGACATAACAGAGAAGAATGTAGCAGATGTGGTAGTAAAGAAGCTAGCTGAACTCGACGCCAGCAAAAACATGATGGAACAGTACCGACAATCTATTGAAGTAAGTATTTAAGAATAATGTGTCACATATTCGCGCCTGGTTTCAAACTAGGTAATTTCCTGTACTAGAGTAGTGAAATGGAGGCACTACCCAGAACAACCATGTAGTACCGAAGTTCTTATTTCAACTGTCTTACTGCTCACGACTGTTCGCATTGTTTGGTATTTAAATATCTTTTTCTTTCTATATCATTTCATATATTGTAGTTTCATGTAGCATTTGAAGTATTATGATTATAGAAAGACCTTTTGTAATCGGCTTTTTACACTGGTCATATATTTTTTGTCAATACTTTGTTCTAACGTTTTTTATTTCCAATCGTTTACTCTATTAGTTTTCTTTTAAAGTCTAAATCTAAAATCTCTAAATATGAATTGTTTTTGTACAGTTTTCTACCAATGAGATTCATAATTGGCATGTAGTTGATCGATTATTATCTAGTTATTTGATTGTTTTACTATTTAATTGGCTCTTTCGATTAAATTGCTTACCAATTGGATTTCAATGGAATCAATCATACTATTTAATAGAATCAATCACAAAACGATTAAATTAATTAATTAAAATATTAAAGCAATCATTAGATGTTTGAAATAATCATAAAAAATCGATTTATTTACATTTTTGACCTACTCGATAAAAGACTACTTATTTATTACCAATTATTTATTGAGTTGCATATTATTGTTAGTACCGTTAACAGCTTTAATGTGAAACAGGTATTTACACCATTCAGGCCCTGTTTGGCGATCTCGAGTCAAGAATAAGGCGGCAAGGTTATTAATCTCATACTATACAATACAATGCAATACAAATACATTTACACCGCTTTGGCACAAAAACGGTAACACGGGGCGTGTTCTCTCAAACTGTAAACGTCACTTAGCCACACATCAAGCTATACAAACTGTTAATCATTGACACTTTTTTATAATTACCATAAGGTACAATTTTCATCAAAGGATTATGACAGTTTGTGTAGCTCTAACTGTGGCCCACCCTATATATTTATTTACTCATTACCATTTTGGTTTTGATTACTTTTATGTTAAAAAAAGCTAGCAACGTTGTGCTGATAGCGAAAAGCAAGAGTAGACCACTAAAGGATTTAAGTTAAGTAACTTTATTTGTAAAACACTAGTTTTGTTTTTATGTATAAAATTATTATTCATATTGACGAATTAATTTGTTTATGAAACATAAATGGCGGGACTTGAAACTTAAAAAATTAAATTGTTGAGTATAGAACTGACCAACGCTTACGCTTAAAACACAAAACTTTTGTGCTTAATTTAAAAAGAAAACTTTTTTAAATGCTTTTCGTTTAAACGCCCACCTCTAATAATAACTGCTTTAGTGAGAGTAAGCCTTTTGTGATTCTTAATTTTATTTCCATATAGAGTACATACATAATATTGTATACATAAATTATATATAAAACATAAATAACATACTAACCCATTATTTGATCGGGACTTAATCGCGTATAAAACATATTAACTCGAAGATGTAGCATGCAGACCTAAATAATGCCTATTCACCTTGCTTTGAAAAGGTCTAAGTTATAGCGTTCGGGGAATAAATCTGCAGGCGGGGAATTCCACTCCATAGCCGTTCGACATATAAATGTGGAAGCAAAACGCTTCGTGCGAACCCGGGAATATCCACAACATAGGGGTGGAACCCCACCGTACATCTAGTCCCCCGATGACGGAAAGGGGAATGCGGAATTCAGTGATAAGTGGAGAGTGGTCGATGAAAGGTGTAGTAAATTCGTACGTTACGAAAAGTGTCAGATACGACAGTGGGGAGAGAATCGATATTATTTCTACCGAATACTAATGAGAGAACATGCCACCTTCTCGTGCATTGCTTCCAATGCTTAACGCATTGACTGGTTTATGGCACTATGTAAATAGCCACAGAACGTGTAAATAACAAAACCGGAAACCTGAAAAGTTTAATAACAAGACAAATTCATTGTATAATTTTATCCCACATAAAGATAATTATGCTCATTTTATATTTTTCAAAACTAAACTAAAATTTACGCTCATTTTATAGAATTATTATTTGATGCGCTTTTGTATCAAGAAGGAACGCGAGAATAGAAAATGATCTTTAATATAATTGGGCCCTGAAATCGTTAAATAATTAATTCAGACGTTACATTGCGGAAGTCCATGTTAACAAAACTGGAAGTAAATTACTAGTAACAAAGTTATTTGCTTCCATTTTTAGCAAAATTTTTATTTACCAAATTTACTTCCATTTTTATTAACTAAAATCATTGACAAATTTTAGTTTAGTTACCAAGAACAATGGTATGATTTTGGTTTCACTTTGTACAGAATAGCAAATTTGCAGCAACTAATAAAATTGCTGCGTCACTTCATTTAATGACTATAACTCAAACTGTATATTTTAAATAATTAAACTTGGAAAGTACAGGCGTAATCAGCTATCTGTTTTGATAATTTTCTAGTACACCTATACATGGCGTTATCGCTCAAGGTCATCGACGGTTCTCAGCGTCTTAAGTAATTTCACGTTATATTTGTGTTTTCAATAAAAAAAATTAATTAAGCAATTCCTTATTATTATGATATATGTACATATATCAAAATACGTATAAAGATATTTAGTGATAACTGATTGCGTCTTTACATAAAATGGTAGTAGTATGGATTAAGCTTAACGCTTGTTCGTGTATTTCAGACGCTCAAAAGACAAGCGGCACAAGCCGGTGAAGTTGACGAGCTGGAATTTATAGAAGAGGTGAGTTTTCTGCTAGCATGTCATTTTCATGCTTTTTATAACAGGCTGGTATTTTTTAATGAATCTTCTATTTATTTTCAATATTGTCTATTAACAGGAGCTGTCATCATGCGGTGAGTGTGAGCGCAGACAGCTGTACGATGCCTTAGACGCGGCTCTGACAGCCCTAGCCTCGAAGCATCTCGCAGTTCGCGCATGGCCACGTCTCGCCGCGTTGCACCAACGACTAGAGCGACTTGCCTTCGCTGTCGCCTCACCACCACCCGTCACTGCTCCTCTAACCGTCACTCCGCTGCATACTACTGCGTAACGTACTGCGAAAGTTACGTCATTGCATACTAACTACGCAACATAGTGTTAAAGTTACACCATTGCATACTACTACGTAACATATTGTTTAAGTTACGCCATTGCATACTACTACGCAAAACACTTAAAGTTGCATTGCATACTAATACGCAACATGCTGTTCAAGTTACGCCATTGCATACTACTAGGTAACATACTGTTCAAGTTACGCCAATGTAATGCGTACTACCATATAACGTATAGCTGAAGTTACGCCATTGCACACTATAGCGTCGTAACATATTCGTAGTAGTGTTATACTCTACTGTATGCCACAGTTAGAGTCGAAGTCACGCCATCTTTAAATACTATGTATAGATTATGCGATTGCAGAATACTGCGTAATTCTATTCTCTATCTATTAGAACTGTTATTTTTGTCACAAAACGGAGGAATCTATTCATTTGGTAATATATATATTTTTCTGTGGGCTGATTTTAGCATTAAAATTAAATATTAATCTACTTAAATATATTGGGATTAAATCCGATAATCCAATATTATTTGTGAGAAGTAGTGACAAAACAGACAAGTGCATCAGTGCTAATGATATCTAAGTAATCTGCTTAATACATATTTTTTAGAACCGATTCCTACACTTCCATGTTTTAGAATGTAACGTTGATACTAGGAAACAATTAACATTTTGTAAGATGATTGTGCATTGGAAGCATCAATGGCATGCCTAGTTAAAAGCTTAGTTAATGTGGAACCTGCACCTTTCTGGCCTCCGTCCTTTTATGACAAAGTGGATTCATTCCTTGACATACAGTGCAGTAGAACGATAGTTTGTACGGGTTGTCACATTTCATAGTAACCATATTTGATTTTTTGTAATTCATTTAGTAGCAGTAGAGCTCCTAATGAAAAATTTCCTCCACCTCACCCATTTCTGCCGCCAAGGGGCAATGTGGGCTTTATTGCGTTCCGGTTTTGAAGGGTTAGGGGTGCTGGTGAACTTATAGGCACTTGGAACTAGTCAACTTAAGTCTCAAGATGACGGGCGAAGTGGCTGTGCCCGTCAGATCTTTGCGATTTAAGATTCTAGTGGCACTGCAACTGCTATGGACAGACATGTCGTTTACCACCAGTCACACGAATTATTCGTCCTGTCACATAAAAATACATTTTAACAGATATTGCAAAATATATGTTTCAATATTCCCAGACTACCTCGGTGGCCTAACGATTTACACTTTAGACACTGGACGAGTTCGATTCCCGGTAGAACAAATTTGGGAAAGAAACTTTTCTAAATTCTCGTCTGAGTATTTTGGAATTGCTCTTGTACTTGCTATATGGTTAGAAATCAGGTAATTAGTATGTTTGTTTGGCACATTATTATTATATAATACTCGTTATTATATACGGTGTGATAAACTGCTATACGATGTCCTAGGCAGCATGAGTATATAATTATAATTTAAGGCTACACAAGGCTAATGTCAACAGGTCATTTTAATGTTTAGCCAACAAACACACAAAATTATTGTTTTCTAACTCTACAGCTCTTTCGAAAGGCAGATTCTCCTTCATCATTATCATCATCAACAACACATCAACATTTATACGCCCCACTGCTGGGCACAGGTCTAGTCTGACGCGAGGGTTTAGTCCATAGCCCGCCACACTGGCCCAATGCTTCTGCAACTGCCTCTGTGGCCGAACGGTTACCATGCTGGACTGCCACGCAGAAGTCCCAGGTTCGATTCCCGGGCCGGGAGAAATATTTGTATGGCCCACATATATTTCTCTCGAGAGTTTGGTTGTAATTTGTGGTCTATGTGTGTGTCCATGGCACCCGCGATACAGGGTTTCCCTAGTGCGGGATTATGAGTTTCACCACTATGTTTTCCTTCACCGAAGACCCATTGTAATTTCAAATTAAATTCTCCTTAGTACATGCTATTGTGGCAGACCACGAACTGTACCTTTAGAACCTAATCTAACAATTAAACTAAATATTGTAATAATTACGTAACTTATACTATATACTCATGCTCAAACATATAATATTTATATGCATGAGTACATAGTATAAGTTATGTAATTATTCCAATATTTAGTTATAGTGTTAGATTAGGTACAAATTAGTTTTAAGTTCTTTTTCAGGTACAGTTCGTGGTCCGCCACACTACACCCGCTTATAACCGGAGCGTCGAAGAAAGAAATGAAATTTTACAGTTAAAATGAAATGTTCCTTCCCCTTTACCTTGTTCCATATTTGGCACAGGCCAGTTAGATTAACAGCGCCATTATCTTTAGATAACTAATTAAAAAATGCATGTTAAATGTTATGTAGTTAGAAATAGGGCATTCGCTACATCATGTAGATGTTGGTGGCCATTTGAAATATATATAGTCCGGTTGGTTATTATATATTGAGTAATTGTTGATGTGCATTCAAGTGATATTTATTAATAAACTCGAGATGGATTTAATCATTAATAGCCTCACTGCCTGAATGACCTTAGTAAATTATGAATTACAATATCGCTATCTTGTACAACAACGCTGTATTGCAGAATAACGATTTTGAACTGTATATACAGCGATGAGAAAAGCAAGTGAAAATGAATTAATAAAACACCCGTCTTTTTAACGTAACATTTTTTTGGCGTAAGTTCATTTGTTCACAGTAAAGTTTCGCTCCCTCTGCTCGTCACACACATACTTAGTTCAAAAACGTAGCATTCTGCAATTACTGCGTTCTTGTATAAATTTGCAATACTGCGTTATTGTATAAAGCATAGATTCCCAAACTTTTTGGCTCACCACCACAAAAAAATTATTGAAATCACGCATTTTTTATATTAACTTTACACAAAAAATCACAAGTAAAAGAAATGAAAATATATGTAGTATAATTTATATGGATAATCCAAGTTTTTTTTTCAAATACGGTAGTACCCCCTGGATAGCATCAACGCCCCTCAATTGCTTCCGAGCCCCCTACCCTCGGAATCTTCAGCGCCCACTGGGGGGCGATAGGGTCCACTTTGGGAAACTATAGTATAAAGGCACCAACATGCACCCTCTTGATGTAACGAATGCCCGTAATAAATATACAAATAAAGGTGATTGTAGGAGTTGTCCTTTTTTACGTACTGAAATCGTAATGATTGATCTCAGAAGGTTTAAAATTCGATTGTCGACATTAACAATTGATTTCCTGCAAGTATTTACTAGACTACATTCATTCCGGATTGCATTTAATTAATCGCAGAATAATGGCACAAGCCGAATAACTTAATTTTTTACTTATTACTAGTGGTCGGATATTCGGATGCTTTTATACCTAAAAGTAATTTTCCAGTGAAGTACCGAAATCTGGAAGCAGCTTCTTAAATACAATTTGACGGATCTTGTTCCGTTGCCCTGGAGGCGATATTCGAACAAAAGTTTTGATTGTACTTTTAAATTAGCGTGTGTCTATTATATATTAAAAAAAATTCGGGTTCCCCTATTGGCGCGAGTTTTTGCCTCACTACAAGTCCTAAAGGTCCAATGATGACCAGGAATATGACTATTGGATCTTCTACTGTAAACAGCTACTAGTGTAAAAAAATCCAAACGAAAACAATTTTTTTCAAGTCCGAAGCTATTACATTTTTTTACTTTGTATATATGACTACCATTTAATTTATTTGTTACATACAATTACAAATAACATTTTAAAAGTCTCTACCTTCAATTTTATACTTAGTTTTTGACAAACCCCGTCGCGGGATTTTTTCGATAAAAAAAAGCATTCCACGTTACCGAGGAACCAAACAGTAGGTAAATAAGCATCGGATTATACAACCACTATTTTTTACACAGCTGTATTTATATGCTAAGTTTTACTACCGAGTAAAACACAGAGCTCTCCATTGGTTAAAATAATGGCGACGGTGCATGATTCGTCCGCTGTGAGCACCCGACTCGTTTCAATTTTCTTTAAAACGTCTTCTTGACGAATTTGGTGTTTATGATATATATATATATATATAGATAGGCCACTTCTAGAAAGCCATTGAAATGTGTTTTGCAAATAATACGTAATTGAAGTCATATCATTAAAGAGAAATATCTCTACTTAACTCCAAGCTTCACTTCGAGATTTAAGGATTTCGTGATTGCATTATTGATCCATTTGTAATGTGTTATTTTTCATAATTTTATCACTCGTTCAATAGTCACTGTAACCGAGAATTACCTTCTATCATTGCAGCTAACCTTTAAGTTGCACTAACTTACCAGCGCGAAAATTATAAGTACTGGTAAATAAACAAGTAAAATTAATAATAACATCGGTGTCAATAAGATTGTCCATAAATTGTTGTATCGCTAGAATAATGCTGCCGGACAGCATATACGTACCTTTTAATCGTGAATTAATCATATATAAATAAATTCGGTAAATATGTGAGCTACACAACGGCCTAACAGTGAGTGTAATCAGGATAAAAAATACTTACAGTGCTTTTCCACTCGACGCTAGCAACTTCAGTATGCAAGCCTTTTTTTAAAAAACTTCTTTCTTGAACAAATACAGCACTATATCCTATATCGTTATAATTTTGATGTAACTGAGAGTGACAACTAACAAAAAAATTGGTTGTTTACTGGAATTAAAAAACAATTATAGTGTAGCAACGTGAAATAAATAAATAGAAATATAGGATAATTTGTCGCCAACAACTCTCTAATTTGTAATATCTTTTAAGAAAAAAGTATTTTAAGTGCCATTAGATTTAGTACAGATTTTGAAGCTTCAAGTTAACACACCGCTAATTGATTGTTTGCTTATTGACCTACTTTACATCACATCAGGTTTATAATTAACTAATCAAAAGTATATTGTAAATAAACAAATGGATGGTACATTCTAATCAAGATATTTATTGTAATCTAGTCAAGTAATGTTTATCAAATTGAAATCGCAACAGAAAAATCAAATGAAACAAGTGGACAATTAAAAATGAATACTATTTTCGAAATATCTTTATTCTACAAAACATTAATTTCTTTTTTAATAAATTTAAATGCAATGTTTCCTGGAATATGGTATACGTCGTTGTTTGTAAAATTGATGGAAGTCAAGATTTGAGACACGATCAAAATATGAGACTGATGTTGTATTTATGTTGAGGGTGGTGAAGTGTTAAAGATGGTATTTCCAGTGTTATGAATTTTTATTGAGTTTAAAAATGAAGTGTGATTTTTTTTATCTTTTATTCAATTGTATATTGGCGATCTCGATGGCCCTACGGTACGGTTTGCACTGTGGGCACTGGATGAGGTTGTCCCAGATTCGATTCTTGATAGGACCAATTTAGGAAACAAACTTTTCTAATTTGGTTCTGGTCTGAGTATTCATAGTACAGAGAATTTTCTAGTTTGAAACCAGGCAATGGGTGTGGTTATGTGGCACATTTATTGTTCATTTATTTATTAATATTGTTATAAAAATGTTAGAGCGCAAAACAAAAATACTCTGCGGTTACTCCACCGGCAAAAACGCCTAGCTCTTAATAATAGGAATACTTTTTATGCCAAGCGATTTTGAACTCTCCAGTCTATAGAAGATCACTATAATTGCCTATATAATACCTGTGTAGTTAGTATATGAAAAATCATATATATATATAAAAAAATCACACTTCAATGATCTGTATAATAAATTCTAATGCAGTAATTTTGAAAACTTGCTTGTAATGGTACAAATAGTCCATCCAAATTGCCCGCTTTCGGTGCTCGCCATTGTAACGCCAGATATAAATGATCGATTTATTATTGCTTGCATTCTCTGATAAGAATGCAATAATCAAATTTGAATTGTCAAATCATGTGATGTAAATATTATGTAAATAAAAATAATAATAAATCAAACTGTTATGTTTTATTTATTTGTTTATTCATAAAGACAATATAAACTTACAGTTTCAACCAAAACGCTTACGCGCAGGTCACACGAGAACGAAGCTGAAAAGGTTGTAAACTGCCAACAA